ATGCCTCTCTCACTGAGAGGTAGGCGGTCCTAACCTAATCGGCACTGTGGTCACAGGTGACAGGACAGGTGGTCAGGCCGGGTTCCTTCCTTCTCTAGTGTGACTGCAGGGCAGCAGTGTGCATACAGGCGAGCTAACGCCAGACCAGCTGCCCCTGGCGCAGAACTTGGTGGTGGGGATCCTCAAATCCCCCTCCTCAGCCAGTCCTGGGCTGTGAGCTAGGGGCTCTGTCCAGTGGCAAGGCCCTCCAGAGAGGCAGAAGGATTTTCCCACACAACTGCCTCTTCTTCACTGTGGTTTCCTCTCAGCTTCTCCTCCTTGGACAAAAAAAATCCTCTGCTGATTTATTTCTTTGAATTTTCTTCCAGGCTGGTCCTCCTATAAAAAAAGAAATCCTTACCCAAGGTCCAGCCCTGCCTTCTTGCAAAACTCACTGCAACACTGTATCTTGGGGGCCAAAAATCCCCAGAGCCTCCTGCAACTCCAAATATTTGAATCTCTCACTCTACAACCGGGTACTTATTGGGGGGTTCATTTTCGTTTTTAAAGTATATGTGGGCCTGTGTTTCCATATGGGGAATGAGAAAAGCCCAGAAATTCCTTGGTCCTGGGTTCAAGTTCTGGCTTCACTATTTACTAGCTGTGGGACTGTGGGCAAATCGCTTAACTTCTCTGAACCTCAATTCCCTCATCAAGCAGTTTCTATTATTGTGTCAGCAGCTCTTCAGAACAGCCTTGTAAAAAAGGAATTATTAGAAAGGCCTATTTTACAAATGAAGAAACAAAAGCTTTGAGAAGCTCCCTTAACTGTGTCCCTGGGCCACACAGCTGATGACAGAATCTTGACTTGAGTTTGGATTCCCTACTTTTGGTATGGAATCAGGGGAGGTAAGGATCTCTCTCCAGTTTACTTCTCCAAGTTGTTGCGAAGGGCAAAGGACGTTGTCCCTTCGTCTGTTTAACAGACTTTCGTTGAGGGCCACCATGTGCCAGCTTCGGTCTCATGGCATGAAGTGTTCCATAAGCTGTAAAGAGCTGGGCAGGTGGAAGGAGGGTGGGGCACCATCCTCCTGGGGGACATTGCTGAGTCCTTGTGCAGAGGAATCCTGCCCACCCCGCGCTGTAGCCCTGGGCACAGGGCCTGATGCTCAGGCACAGCCCTTGACGAGGCAGTCTCTTTCCTCTCCAGGTCTCCCTGCCTAGGCCCCTCAGTTCAGCCTCACAACATCCTGTTTGGGAGGTACCATTAGCCCATTTTACAGATGAAGGGGATGTGGATCCCTGAGGATAGTGGAGTTCAGTCCTGGCTGCATGTTAGAATCACTGGAAATCTTTAAAAGCCCAAGACCCAAGCTGAACCCCAGACCACCAAATGAGGAATTCAAGGCTGGGCCTGAGCATCAGTATTTGTTTGTTTGCTTACTTGTCTGTTTTGTAAGATTTTACTTATTTGCCAGAGAGAGAGAGAGAGAGAGGGAGAGAGAGCACAAGCAGGGGGAGGGGCAGGCAGAGGGAGAAGCAGGCTCCCTGCTCAGCACGGAGCCTGATGCTGGGCTCATCTCAGGATGAGCACCGGAGCATTCTTCACACGGTGTCCTTGGAGGGAGGTCTGAGAAGCAAGGATTAAGAGCTGCCTCTGAGAGCTGCTTGGCCAACAGCCAGCCAGGAATACGAGCTTTCCCAGGCATTTGTGGGCCAGGGGCAGTGTTTCCCCAGGGTGGGGCTCAGCATAGTGCCTAGACTGTGGTACAGCTCAGTCGATCCCTGCCTGGAAATAGTGTTCTTTGTGCGTTTCTTCCCTTCCCACACCCCACCCCTGCCCCCCAGCTCTTTGTGCGGAGCTTCTCTCCAAGTCTGCTGCCTCAGAAGTCGGGGTTTTTAAATGTTCAAAACAGGCCTTCGAGAATTATCTTAGCAGGCTTGGGCTACCCTAACAAAATACCATAGACTGGGTGACTTCAACAGCAGAGACTTCTTTTCTTACAGTTCTGGAGCCTGGAAGCCCAATATCAAGGTGCCAGCAGGGTCAGTGTCTGGTGAGAACCCTCTTCCGGCCTCGCAGACGGCAGACTTCTGCTGTGTCTCCCACGGCAGAGAGAGAGAGAGAGAGAGAGAGAGAGAGAGTAAGCTGTCTGGTCTCTTCGTGTAAGGACACTAATCTCCCCTAACCCTAACTATCTCCCAAACGCCCCACTCCCAAATACAAAATCACAGGGTGGGGGCGGGGTCAGGCTCCAGCACAGGAACTTGAGGTGCGGAAGGGCACAACTCAGTCCCTAGCATTTGTGTCTTTCTCATGTGCAAAACATGTCTGTTCTATCCTAGCAGCTCCCCAGCCTTGCCTCATTCCAGCGGCAACTCTAAAGTCTCAAGTTTAAAGTCTCCTCAACGAACCATCAAAATCAATATGGGTAACTCAAGATACGATTCACTCCGAGGCAATATTCTTCAGCTGTGAACCTGTGAAACCGTATGAGTTATGGACTTCCAATATACACCAGGAGGACAGACACAGGGTAGGCATTCCCGTTCCGAAAGGGAGAAGTAGGAAAGGGGGAGGGGTAATGGATCCCAAGCAAGTCCCAAAGTTAGCAAGGCAATTGCCACTAGATCTGAAAGCTCAAGAATAATCCTCTTTGGTTCAATGCTCTGCCTTGCAGACCCAGTGGGTCCCATCTCTGCGGCTCTGCCAAGTGGGGGTGGGAGGCTTCCTGCAAGGGGATGGCCTAATAATCTCTGAACTGCCTATAGGGTCCTTCTGCCTTTTCCCTGCAGAACAGTGCACATTGCAGCCAAAGAGCCCGATGCTCTGGTCCTGCAGCATACAAGAACTTTGATGCCTTTCCTGCGTTCTGTCCTGCTTTCTCTTGCTCCCTCAGTTCAAACGGGCAGTGTCTTTGCTGGTATAACCCCATCGCTTGCCTGGCTTCCACTGAGCTGGCTGATTAGATCTGTACGCACACCGGGTGTTATCAAATGGTTGTTTAGCCACACCCTCAGTGTTCAATTCTAAGCACGCTTTCTCATCTTCTTGCAATGATGCCAGACTGAAACTTTTCTAAACCGCCAAGCTCTGGTTCCATTTTGCTTAACAATTCCTTCTTTAATTGCTGTCTTTCCTTTTGCATTTTACTCCAAGGATTCAGGAGATACCCAGCGGCTCCCTCAACCCTTTGCTTTGAGATCTCCTCAGCTAAATATTCAATTTCACAGCTCACAACGTCCACCTTCCACAAAACACCAGAACACAACTCAGTCAAGCTCTTTGCCAGTTTATAACAAGGATCACCTTTTCTCCAGTTTCCAATAACACGTTCATTGTTTACATCTGAGCCCTTACCAGAATTGCCCATGAGGCCCATATTTCTAGCATGCACCTCAAAATTTGGTGTGAGAAGAGTGACCACACACGAGACCATCAGAGCCAGGCTGCCAGGCAGGAGCCCAGTCGACATGCAGAGGCTGAGCCTGCAAACCACTTTCCTGCATTTGGCACACCACTAGCTCCTGGGCAGTGAGCCACATCAGTGTCCATCCCTCCCGCTGGATGGGCGTCCCTCGAAGCCTGCTGCAGGTCACCAGGGGATTCGAAGCTAGCTTGTACTGAAGTCTTTTCCAAAGCCCCTCTAAGCTGTCCTCTATAAACACCACTTTTCCAAAGGCCCAGCAGAGTAGCAAGCTTTCTGGTAGAAGGAGCCTTTGCACCCAGAATCGGGCTGTTGATGGGAAGGAAGAATCTCAGCATTGCTGTGCTGGTGGGTCAGGAGAGTGGGGAGCCCCCCTCCCCCATCTTATGTAATACATGTAACTGGCAGCACAGCCCGGCAGTCTGGTACCCAGGCCTAGAAGCCAGAATGCAGCCAGCACGTTCCGGCCTTGCCCCTTGCTGGCAGTGGGACCTCCATGTCTCTGTTTCAGTTTCCTCTCCTGAGAGAGGGAGACCATAAGAATTCCCGTCTCATGGAAGGGTGATAAGAATTTCATTCATTTAAGTAAAGTGTTGACACTAGTTTATGGCACATAATAACTGCTCAAAAAAAAGTTAGCCATGATGGTGCACTCATGCGAACATGCGCAGTTACTGTCTGACAGGCAGGCAGGATCAAGGAGGCAATGAAGAGGTGTGGTCAAGAGGGAGGGGAGAGGCGGACGTTGAGAAGGGGTGACCGTGGTTTCTAGCCTCTCTGAGCCTCAGTTTCCTCATTTGTAAAATGGGAATTACATAAGATAACACTTGCAAATCTTTTATCCAGTAGTATAAAATAAATATTCGCAATTGCATTTTTCAGATAAGGAAATTGGAGGCACAAAGAAGTTAGAAACTTGCCCAAGGTTACCAAGCTAGTAAGTGGGAAAGCTGAGATGTGAGCCAAGGTCATCCGCCTTCATTGTAGAAAAAAGAATCTGTTTTTTTTTGTTTTTTTGTTTTTCATTATGGTCTGTTAACAGGATAACATCTGCCAACCAAGGGAATAAATTTATTCCTAAACCTAATTTTCAGTATATTTTTTTCCTCTTTTTGTGATAGATGAGCAGCCTTTAAAGTACAGATGATCTAAAAATCCATTTGAGCTGACATCTATCTAGACATAAAAGATTCTTCTGGGGGCTAATGCCCATTAGTGGTTGATTAGGCTTAAGCTACAGCATACCCAATCCACAATTACCAAACTGGAAGGACATCCCGTTCAAACTCAGAGGTGTAAAAGTGCCAGCTGACACTGTTTATTTCAGGTGGTATGCAAGACCACAAAAGCAGAAAGGAGGGGTTGAGAAGCTCCCTGAGAATCCCTGAAGGTTGGTTTGACCTGGGCTTAAAAAGTCAAGCTTGGGGGCCTGGTGATCCTGGCTTGACTCCCACCTCTGCGAACCCATGCTAGTTGTATCTCCCCAGGCAAATTCAACTTTGTTATTCAGCAATGCCCATTTGTGGTTAACACATCTATGTTAAGGGGCACTTCTACAAAATCAGCGATTCTCAAGTGAAGACTACCAACCACATGCTTAAAAAAACATTTAGGGTACTTGTTAAAATGCAGATTCCGTGCTTTCCCCCAGTTCTACTCATCTCATCCTCTGCCAGCAAGGCTGGGGAATGTGCGTTTCTGACAAGTCCTCCCGATGACTCCAGGCCGACCCGCTCAGCCTGTACCCCACATCCCAGGCAGGTGTGGGGACATGGAGCAGCCATAGAGGAACCTTCCTGAACCGTGACACTACAGATGTGTCGAGCAGCTTCGCCTTGAGCCTCAAAATCACGATCCCCTTGGAAGTGGCATCCTCAGGGGCTGTGTGAGTGCTGGGGGGGGGGGGTGACCTTGGTTCCGGACTTGCACTGGGGGAGGGAAGGGCTTTGTGGCAGAGAAGTCACTTCTCTGGCTTTTGTCCCTTCTATCGCATTAGACAAGCCGGCTTCAGGAAAGGAACGCGTTCTTCCGGGAGGGGGCCATGTGGCCACACACCCAGCAGTCGGCCGTGACTCAGCTGCGGCAGGCTGCCCGCGCCCAGGCCTGGGGCTGCGCCGCACGGGAAACAAAGAGCCGCTCGAACGCGCCCTCCCGGGGCCGCGCCGCACCTGCCGGCCTGCCGCGGCCCCTGTCCCAGACGCCGCCTCGGCCGGCGGCTGTTGCGGGGCTGCTCCGGCCTTCCGCGGAGGCCAGCCGGCTCTCCCGGCCGCACCCCGTCCCCCGCCCTCCGAGTCGCCCCCTCCCAGCCCGAGAGGAGCCGGAGCCACCGCCCAGTCCCGAGCCTCGCGGCTCTGCGCCTGCGCGCGCTGCTCCCTGCGCCCCGCTCGTCCCGCGCCGGGCTCTCGGCGCCGGCGGGGACCCCCGCGGACTCACCCGAAGCGTTTTCCAGGCGTCCGGAGAGTCGGGGTTCCTGAGGAGTCCCCCTACCGCGCGTCTTTCCGCAGCTGGTGTGTGTCCAGCCGCACGCACCGGCGGGAAGGAAACCCAGATTGTCTTTGTCCGGGCAGCGGGTCTCCCCGGCCTCCCTGATGCTGGTCCCACCCCCGCGTGGCCCTGCTCTGGGAGGGAATGGCAGGTCGCTGGTGGCTTCTACCTTCCACAGCCTTTGGCTTTCCCTTTCCTCCTGCCAGTGATTCTCAAAGGTTGCAGCCCCTTAGATTCACCTGGGGAGCTAAAAACAAACGGACAAACCCCTGTGATGCCCAGGCTGTACCCACCCCGATGAAACCCGAACCGCGAGTGTGGGACCCCAGCGTTTTGCAAAGTTCCCCAGGTGATTCCAGTGCTCAGCCAGGGCTGCGGACGGCAGACCACGGACCCAGACCCGGGCTTCTCAAACTTTAATAGGCACTGAAATCACCTGGGATCTCGTTAAAATGCAGGTTTCAATTCAGTAGGTCTGGGGCGGGGCCTGAGAGCCTGCATTTCTAACAAGCTCCCTGGCGGTGCCGAGGCCGCCGGTCTGGGGGTGCTTCTGGGCCTGCAAGACACTTCTGTAGACGCTCCTTGTCCCTTTACCTTTCTCTTGTGTTGTAATAGAGAAGATGCGGGCCGCGGAGCAGATAGGGGTTGGAATCCCATCTCTGCCACTCTCCAGCTTGGTGAAGTTGGAGCCTGGGTCTTTATGTGCGAAATGGGGGTGTGATAGTTACCTTGCAAGTTTCTGGCAAGCTTGACATGAGATGATGTCTGGAAGACCCCTGGCACTCAGTGAGCTGTCAGTGAAGATCAGCTCTATGAGGATGGCTAAGCTCTCCATTGACCCTCATGGCAGAATCAGCCAGGAAATGATAAGTAGAGGGAAGGAGCTTTCCAGGCTCCGTCTTTCCTGTTCTCTGCCCTCCCAGGAGGACTGCTGGGCTGAAGCCAAAGCTCAAACTGTCCTGGGACATGGGTGGGGAGCAGAAGGGAAGGGGGCTGGGCTAGAGGGATGGAGTACATTGAGGGTCCACATGGGAGCCCTGAGGGGGGTCGTGGGTCCCTGGAAGGCCTGAGTCCCAGGGAGAACTGCTGGAAGCACTGAGGGTAGCAGGAAGAATGACCGGAGCAGGTGGTGAGAGTCACAGAGAGCAGGGGCCACCAAGGGTCAGGATCCCAGGAGACAGAGACACCGGGAAGGGGATGGAGCCAGGAGAGAAGATGACTATACCTGGGGAGCTTCCCCTCTCTGTCTCATTGCCCCTCAGAAATGGTGTAGCAGAGTTAAGTGTGCAGGCTTTCCCCAGAGGCTGACCAAGGCTGTAGCCTGTTGCTAGTCATGTGACCTTGGGCATGGTGACTTAAGCTCTCAGCCTCCGTCTCTTCATCTGTAAAATGGAGTTATAATCGCTAACTCAAAGAATTGTCATGAGAATAAGCAAGGCACTCCTGTAGAGCCCTCTGATCAGTGGCTGACACACGGCAAGCCCTCTGAGGGGGTTGGGTATTGTGATGTTTCCCATTGGACAGATGAGCAAACTGAGGCTTGCAGAGTAAAGTCACACCCAGGTCTGTGCTCCCCTCTTTCCATCACATAGGAAAAAATCACACAGGGGTTTTTTTAAGCTCCCCAGATGATTCTAACGGACAGCAACCTTTGAGAACCACTGGTAGAAGGCAGGAGTGGGGAAGCTGAAGGCTGTGGAAGGTAGCAGCCACCAGCGACTTTCCATTTCCTCCCAAACCTCTTGAGTTCCCAGTAGATCAAACACCCTTTTTAAACCAACTTTATGACTTGGTAAAGGGCCCACCGTGTGTGCTTGTGGTGGACTCCAGCCCAAATATACTCCTGTGGTAGCCCAGCAAAGGGGTCAGGAATCAGAGGCTCTGGATGAAAGCCCGCTGCCTCCCTTGGGACTGGTGGTGGTGACCCCAGGCAGTGACATTGGCCTTGTCCTGAGATTTGTGAATGCTCTCTTAGGACCTGCCTGAGAGTGCAAGGCACATTTAGGATGTTCTCTTCACAGGACATTGAAAGACTGCACTTTCTTTTAAAGCACAGGGCTCTGATGTAGCTCCAATGGGTAGCTCAGGAGGCAGGATTTTTGAAAACAGGCTTTCTTCTCCACAGAGCCCATGGGCTTCAAGCATGCAAGGAACCCGGAGCTTAGAAGTGGGGTGCTCACGAACCTCTCTGAGCACTGCTAGCACCGTGTTCCCTGCATTATGCTGTGATCATTGCTTTCCACGGCCTTCTCCTCCCCTAGACAGTCAGCTTTGTGAAGGCAAGGGTTGTGTCCCACTCCACCTCGAGGTTCCGTCACCCAGCAAAATGCCTGCCACCTAATCAGTGCTTGCTAAGTGCTCATTACCAATGCAAGAATAACTGAGCTGTGGGAGCTGGGGCAGGCCCCTCACTTCTGTTTCCACCTGGGCCTCCATTGTTTCATGCATAAAATGGGGTTGGGGCTAAATTGGATCTCTTAGGCTCCCTCTGCCTCTAATAGTTGTTAATTTGAAATTATTTTTCATCTGGTCATAATCCACTTTATTTTTCCTCCCCAGGTACATATTCCTACATTGGACCTTGATTTTATGTTTTCTCCTTACTCAGTTGGGTGGATGAGCTTTATAAAGTGAGTGCAGATGCCCTGCTAGTTAAGGCCTGAAACTCCTTTATTTTCTCACTAAATTCTTCTTGGTGAGGCTGTCCATCTGTTCTTGTGAGAGGCACACTGGGCTGATCATTCTGGGCCAATGGAGGTAGTTTTCTCTTCCCCGATCGTCTTGGCAGCCTCTACAACATCTTTGGACACATCACTTCTGTGGCCTTGGTAGGGCAAACACCCCCGACCCCCTTTCCTTAGGCTGGGATTCTCTCTTGGCAAAGAGAACGCGCAGGCTGGCCCAGATCAGAGGCGCAATGTGGGCACTGGACCCAACTGGTCACACAGGCCCACAGAACATCATCCCCCACAGGATTAGATGAGCTCACATTTACCTGTTCGGGCTGAGTCGAAATAGAATGTAGATTCCAAAGGGAATCTTTTCCCTTCTGGGGAAGCTGCCAGGGTGAGATTTTCTATGATAGTGGCCTAACCCTTGGATCTCTGCCGCTGATAAGTCACCATGTGTGGTGCTGTCTGTAAAGATGACCATGCCCAGGCCATCCCTGTTTGCAGGTGCTGCTCTTGTCATCAAGAGGTAGAGTTAATTCCTTTCCCCCTTGAATCTGTGCAGGCACTGGGACTGGCTTTGACCAATGCGAAGAGACAGAAGGGATGCTGTTCTGGTTCTGGGCTGAGGCCTGGTGTTCTCTGAGCCTGAGCCACCATGTTGAGTCCAGGCTATCCTGCTGGGCCGAGAGCCAGCCACCAGCCTCAAGGCCGTGAGGGTATCTGGTCGACCTGGCTGACACCACATGAACAGTCCTGAGACAGCGCAGCTGAGCTCTGCCCAAAGTCCTGGCCCACAGAATTGGGAGCAATAAAATAGTTTTGTGGTTTAAGCTGTTCAGTTTTAGGGTGGTTTGTCACATAGCAATAGGTAACTGAAACATCATACTCTCTGGATCCTAATTTCTTCATGTGCAAAAGGGTGGGTCTGCTTTCCATCTTTGAGGCTAAGTCAGTGCTTCTATAACTAGTATCAGATTCTCTCTCCATAAATAAAGCTTTTGATATCTGGTCTCCAACAAGGGTTTGGAATCAGGAAAAGTGCCCCTGAGTCCTAGAGACCACCAGCACTGATGCAACTGACATTCATGAAGGAAAACAGAGGAATGTACCATCTGAGAGTGCTGGCTTTGGAGTGGGACTCCCTGGCTTTGAATTCCAGTTCTGCCACTTCCTGGCCATCCCATGTTGGACAAGTTTCTTTCTCCAAGTCTCAGCCTCCTCATCTATAAAATGGGGATAAGGACACTGCCTTTTTATAGGATTAATGTGAGGATTAGCTAAAATATTGGCCATATATTGCTTAGCATGATGCCTGGAATGTTAAAGGTATCCAATAAATGGTAGCATTCCCTTTGTTGACTCCTACAATATTTTTGGTTTTCCTATCTGTCCATAGAGGGTGTGTATATTAACCAAAACATGATAACCTAACCTTGCCCCAGTCAATAAGAAAATGAAATTACACATTACCAGGGGGCACTCATAGCACTGGTCTCTATTCTCTTGGTAGGTTCAAAGGGAATTCAAATGATTTCTTCTGTGTAAAAAACAAAACAAAACAAAACAGACTGCAGGAGAGGGGCAGAGGGAAAAAGCTGAATAATGATTTGCCTTCGTTTCTAAAAAGATATTTATGATTAGGGGAAGGATGGGTGAAAAGGAGTAAAAAAACTAATGTGTCGCTTTGTCAAAATCAAGCGCAAGAAAACGGCACATTGGTTAGCACATTTTTAGAGAAAAACAACAGTGGAACAAGAGAAATCAAAACCTAACCTTCTACCATCTGCCACAGATGATTTTGTAGCTCTCTACCAGAATCTCATTAGCATCTGCTAAGAGGCTGATTGTGCCACCAGCAAAATAGTGGTGGAGAAAGGGCCACTCACCCACGTGGCACAAGGTCTATCTGATCCTGCTCCGGCAGGGAGGTGGCCAGGCAGGAACCTGGACCTCTCTCCCCAATTCCCTCCTTTGTGCTCAGGAATTCCCTAGGCAGACAAAAGCTCCGTTTCAGCCGAGAGAGAGTTACCCTTTAAAACCTCGGCTCCAGGCAGCAGGAACAGGGAGGAGGAGTGATTGGCCTAGCGAAGACAAGAATAACACCAAAAACCCACATTTGCTTCTAGTTCTGGGCCTCCTGGGTCTACTCTCTCCTGGCTGTGTTTTCAAGTGCTACATTTTCTGGAGCTTTTAAGACCTGGGCCTGCCAGATTGGAGGTGCAGGGAAAATGTACACCTCCACCCCTCCCCCAACCTTCCAACCCCTCATTCTTCCCACCTTGCTTCCCAAAGGAAAGCAAGATAATACAAGACTTGTTCTCAAGTGGCTTTCACCTACTCAGGAGCTGTGAAAAGAATTTAGAGCTGTGAGATGAAAATCTTGCAGGAGGAAAGGGGGCCAAGTCCAAATGATTCCCCCAGAGGTTTTTTTTTTTTTTTTTTTTAAAGATTTTATTTATTTATTTGAGAGACAGAGAGAATGAGAGAGAAAGCACATGAGATGGGGGGAGGGTCAGAGGGAGAAGCAGACTCCCCGCTGAGCAGAGAGCCCAATGCGGGACTCGATCCAGGGACTCCAGGATCATGACCTGAGCCGAAGGCAGTCGCCTAACCAACTGAGCCACCCAGGCGCCCTCCCCCAGAGGTTTTAAGGATTTAAGGAATTCAGATTTTTTTTTCTTGTACACACACACACACACACACACACACACACACACACACACACAAACATACATACATATATGTATGAATGAAATGAAAAATACCACCCAGTGATCTTCTCTTTCCGGGAAGACTGGACTCCATAAGATTCTGGAAATCTGCTAAATCATTCAGGGACCCATAATTCAACTGGAACTTTTACTGGGGCCAGAACTGGAGAAACCCAAGTCCAAAGGGCTGCTTTGATTCCGCCCAGTAGGATTTCAATCCGGAGTCACCTGATTCCTTTGCCTCAGCCTCCTTGTCTAGAGATGTCTTAGGTCCTTAAGCTGTTTGGTGTCCTCTTGTCTCCAAACACTCTGCCCACAGGAGCTGAGGGCTCCCTTCTTATGGGGATCCCCCGAGGACTTCAGAATTCAGGGTAGGCCTACAGGGCAGGTGGTAAACTAAAAATAGACCACATACGCTCTAAGTCACAAGTCAGTTTGTTTAATGCCATAAGACCTTGGGCTGGAACTTTCAAACTTCTAGGTCCATCATTCGTGAAACTAAACAACAACACTGAATTACTTTCAGGAGAGTCTCAAGCAAGGCTGTGAAACTTAGCACTAGTGGCACATAACATGAATTAGTTAGTCCTTTATAGATTGTGAGGAATCCCAACTAGCTTAAGCAAACAGAGGGAATATATTGACTCCCATCACTGAGCCAGGGGCTCCGTAAAGAGGCAAAAGCTCTCTGTCTCTCTCCGGGTTTTGCTCTCTCCTAATGGCTGATGGGCAAAGGGAGGTATGTAGGCAGACAGTTCCATGCTTACATCATCAGTGCTCAGCATCCCCTGAGAAAAGAAGAGTTATCCTCCCAATATCTGTAAAGCCACAGGACACTTTTCTGGTCCGTATACAGCTGGCAACCACTGAGGACAGGGCTGTGGGACCTACAAATGACATTGGGTGGGTGTTGGGATGGGAACACTAAGGAAGGGAGGGTGGCCATTACCAAGAGTAGGGGGCAAGGGACACTGTGCCCACACACAAAAACACAGGTGTTTGTCCCACGTGCATAGAATACATTCAACAGTCATTTGATTTTTCTCTTCTCTTGCCTTCAGTTTCAGCTTTTAGAGCCTAGGTGCTAATTGTAGGAATCCTGAGTCATGGTTCTGATGCATGTTTTCCCCCACTACCAAGCAATTCTCTGATTCTCAGCGGACCCTGAGTGGGTGCCTACAGCTCAGCTCAGTTCTGGCTCTGCCCGGAGATAGCATCAGATCCCACAGGTGAAGGGCTCACTCCCACAAAACTGCCCCCGCTTCAGATGTCACCTGCTAGTCCAGCTTGTCACCTGTGCTGCTCACTGGCTATAAATTGGGGGTTCCCACAAAGCCCTCTTCAGGTTTGATTAATTTGCTCCATTGGCTCACAGGACTCAGAGAAACATTTATGTACATTTACCAGTTTATTATAAAGGATATAAATGAACAGCCCGCTGAGAGGTCTACAGGGTGAGGTCTGGAAGGGTCCGGAGCATGGGAGCTTCTGTCCCCATGGAACTGGGGTGCACCACCCTCCTGGCACATGGACGTGTTTACCAACCAAAAGCTCATCAAGTCCTGTTATTCAAGAGCTTGTATAGAGTTTAATCTGCTGTCGCCCACACCCCACCCCCTCCTTCCCAGAGGTGGTGGGTGGTGCTGAAAGTTCCAACGTTCTAATCCCTGGGCCTTGCTGGTGACCATCCCCCTCCTGAGGAAATGTTGCAGCCCCAAGCTAAGTCACCTCATTAGCATAAACTCAGGTACACTCCAGAGGGGCCCACTATGAATGACAAAAGATATTCCTGTCACTCAGGAAATTCCAAGAGTTTTAAGATCCTTGTGCCAGGAACTGAGGACAAAGACCAAATAGATTTATTGCACCAAACATGGTTAGCAAGAGCAAATGTCCCCAAGAGCAGAATAGAAGGCCTTAAGCAGGGCTCTGGCATATACTTCTGTACATTTTGGGGGCTCAGGAGTCACTGTGACCTCTGCCTGCAGCCCTGCCCTCGCCTAGTTACTGACCTGATCCCCAAGTGACACAGCTCCCTTGCACAAGGGAGAGGACCCAAGTTCATCTGCGTCCTGGGACCTATTGTCAGAACAAATATAAACGAGTTCTGCCTGAGGCCGACCTACCCTCCTCAGTCCCCGGCCTGACACCTTCCTGGCCGTGGCCTCCAGAGCCAGCTCGCCTGGCCATGCAGATTCGGAACTTTCTGCCCGCTCTCGCCCCTGAGGCCTGCCTGAGCTTAGCCTGTGGCTCGTGGAATGGTGCAAACTAACAGCACTACGTGCCAACCGTTGTTCTAAGCACTTTCGTTATATTCATTTATCTGGTACTCACACTGCCCTGTGTGGTGTGTATAGTTATGGTTGTCCCTCCCATATAGATGAGGTAACAGGCACCGAGAGGCTAAATAATTCCCTTTAGGTCACATGGCATCCAAGTAGCAGAACTGAGAAACCTCAGGCGTGGGTAAGTATGCAGAGGCTGAAATAAGACCGGCTTTGTCATACCTTGTGACCTTGGGCAATTTGCTTAGCTTCTCTGAGCCTCAGTTTCCTCATGGTAAAATGGAACTTGAAATTCTCAGTATATTCCAAGACTTTTCCTCAGTCCCCTTCTTGGCCTGTACGCTCCCCCTAGGTGCTCCCATTCAGACTTGGACCATTAAACGTCATCTACGTGCTGATGATTCTCAAAGTTAGATCTTCAGGCTAGCGATTTCCCCTGAACTCCTGCCCCTTGAACATTTCCACTTGAATTTTTGCATCTCACAGTTAGCAAAATGGACTCTTGCTTTTCCTCACCAAATTCCTTTTTCCCCCAGTCCTCCTGGTCTCAGTGCCTGGTACCACCATCTACCCAGCTGCTCAGGCTAAGAACCTAGAATCTAAATTGTATTCGTCTTTTTGCTCACCCTGTAACCAATCTTACATTACGTCCTATTGGCTCAACCTCCAAAATATATCCTGAATTCTGGTCATTTTCATGGTTTCCACGGTCACAGATGGAGTTTCAGCCCAGAGCCTCTGCCTGGATCCCACGACCTTCTAATGAATCTCCCTTAGTCTATCCCTGTGAATTCGATCATTTTCCTGTCTCTGCTTACAACCCGTCCGTGACTTCCCACTACCGCAGGATGAAAATCTAGACTCATTTCCATGATCTACCCAGTCCTACTTAACCTGGCCCCTGCTTCCTCCTCCAGACCCTTCTGCCTGCTCTTTCCTTTTGGTTCTGTGGCAGCAGGTTGCTCATCCATTTTGGTCACTTGCTACATTTCCAGGGCCTAGAACAATGCCTGCAGCATAACAGAAGCTTAATATATATTTACTTGTTGGATGAGTGAATGGACTGCATGGGGGCCTGATAGGCCTTCTCTCTCTCCTTCAAAACCCACCACACTTTTTCCTGTCCCAGGGCAGTTGTATTTGCTGTTTCTTCTGCTTCTAGCACTCTTCCCCAAGCTCTGCATGGCCACCCCTCCCCATCTTTCAGACGTTGACTGAGATCCAGCTCCTGAAAGAGACTTTCCCGGATACTGCCCCAGAAGCAGCTCTTACTCCCTAGGGCTCCATCACGTTACCCTATTTTTCAAGCAGCTGAAGTTACCTTCTTTATTTCGGTCATATTGCCTGACTCTACCCGCCCTCCCCACCCTGCACGACCCCCAGAATGAGTCTCAATGACAGGGACCTTGTCTGTGTACTCATTGTTATATCCTGGCACCTAGAACAGTGCTTGGCACATAGTAGGTGCTCAATAAGCACTGGTGAACTCACCGATGAACACTTAACATTATGAGGAATAAACATATCAAAACCACCTCTTTGGAAAGCCGGAAGTTTCTAATAAAGCGAAGCAGCCTCTTAGAAGGACCAGCAATCCTACCCCTAGGTATATATACAAGAGAAACAAGTACCTACATCCAGAAATTGCCTTGGACAAAAATGTTCATAGCAGCCTTATTCATCAGTCAAAACCCGGAAATAACCCAAATGTCCATCAATAAGGGAACTGACAAATTGTGGTCTATTTATATAATGGAATAAGAAGGGCTTGACATGGCTGAATCTCACAGACTACGTGTTGATCAAAAGAAGCCACACACAAAAAGGACATACTGTGTGATTCTATTTATACGAAATTCAAGAATAGAGAGAACTAATCCTGACTGTGCCCGGTGACCCCTTTCCAGGGTGACTCGTGGGCTGAGCGGTGCACACAGCCTTTGTACTAGGCGGAAGTGAGACAAGCCAGTTCGGAGGGGAAGGGTTTGCATTAACACACAGTGGAGGGGTCAAGGCGGAGACTGTGGGCGGAAAGAATGTAGATGGCCTGGGTAATTTTGGAAAGCTATGTGCAAGGCTGCCCTGGCCCACAAGGGTCTGTGGTGCAGCTGGAAAAACACAGAACTTTCAAAGAACACCAAAGAGGATGCTGTGGCTTCATGAGGGAATCAGATCTCAAAATGTAAAGCACACGATGAATGTGATCCTGCCGGAGGCCATCGCTGTGGCAGGCAGGTGGGAGGGACCTGCGAGGCTGGCGGGAGGGGAGCAGCAATCTTTTTCCTGTTCCCTGGGCCCTTGCCTCCAGGGCTGCACAGGTGAAGGTGTTCCTCCATCTAGTGGTGGAGCAAAGCCCCGTTGGGGGGTCCCTTTCACTTCATCTGAAACTATGCAAAGCATGAACAAAACAGGAAGAGAATGGTTTTGTAATACACAACTACTTAATACGTAGTTAGGGATCTACTTAATAACCAAGAAATCAAGCTTTCCTTTATAAGAACAACCCCCAGAGGCAGTGCACACAATGGCAGAGACCCTCCCTCCTCACCCCCCAACCCCCCCCCGCCCCGCCCACATCCACCTTGCAGCCACTTCCCCATCGTCCATCCATCTGTCCCATTGCAGCAATGCCTTCAGCGGGTTGGGAAACACAGCCATCAAAATGAACGGCTCAGTGTGTCACCAGAAACTTCTGAAACCTGAAGGAGAGCCGAATTCAGAAAATGTGACAGGCAGGGCCACGGAGATAAACCACAAGCCTCCGGAACTCTTGGGGATGCAGATAGGCGCTACCCAGGGCTGTTTGATTATGTTGGTAATTATATTAATTATGCACAGGTATTTACTGCGGTTTCTCTCCTCAAATACACTTTGCCCAAACTGATTAAAAAATTCTCCACTTTCTGGAAGGCTGGGAATGTGTTTTCTTGTTCTCAATGATGTCCAGTTTAGAAAAGGGAATTTGGTGAGAGCTACTCAGAACAAGTGCATTAAGCACAAGTGAGGATCCCATGTGTCCTTGCAATCATCTGTCAGCTCAAAAACACGTGCCTTCCCACGAGAGCTCCTCAACCCGAAGACAAGCAAGTAGAGGAGATGAGAGGTCAAAAGTTGGAGGCAATGGAAAGTTGGATTTCAGTTTGAATCAAAATTCTGCGTAGTCAGTACGCACGGGTCACAGCATTGTGAGGAGATTATCCTGGAGTGAGTTCAAGAGCGTAACCTATGAGCTCAGCATCTGTGGGTGTGACAAGGAGTTGATGAATAAGCGGTTGGGGGAACGAAGAACCTGCCATCCCGAACAGGCAGCCAAGACACAAGCCAGGCACCATCCCAACCAAGCAATAACCTGTCACTTGCAGTGGCTCAGAGACCTGAAGGAAAGACCCCACCAAGCCCAGATCTTATCCATTAGGGAAAATGGCTGAAGCAAAACACGCTGACAATTAATTGTATCAACCAAGATGAAGTGTGACTAGTTCTATGTAATAAGATGAGATGTATGGATTTTCCCTGCTCAGTCCTCTTAGACCTCTGAGGGAATTGCTCTGTCTCATCCCAAGTGTTTCTGGTGTGTTGTCCATCAAGATTCCTGGTCACTGGGGTGGCCCTCACCAACGGTGATCAGAATAAGAAGGGCAAGCAGGAGACAGACCCAAGCAGGACAAATCCATTGACATGCAGATGCTGAAAGAAAGAAGCTTGGTTAATGACTTATTTTTCCTATTGAGATTATTATGGGAGGGTAGACATCTGAGGCGGTGGTGGGAAGAGCTCTCTATAGAATGGGCCCAGGCAGAGAGAAGCAAAGATGAGAGTCCAATGAAGAGAGGTCTACACAGCGGTTCTCAGCCTGGGCTGCACACTGGAATCACCTGAGGAGCTTGACACCTGCTGAGGTCTGGGGCCAGCCCCAGGAATCTGTATTGAATTGGTCTGGGTGTAGCCTGGGCCTCGAGACTTTTAAAAACTCTCTGGGTGATAACTTAGGGGCAGCCAAAGGCTATCTAGAAGCACCACGTCCCATCCTTGAGGCCTTGATTCAACAGCTCTTCCTGAGTCTGTAACCCATTTCATGCCCTCTGCTGTCGATAACTTTTCTTTTTAGCTTAATTTAGTTGGAACTGAATTTTTGTCATTAGTGGCCAAAAGAGATCTAAGCAGAAAACTAAAAAGACTAATCATAGCTAACACCTATTCAGCATCAGTGACATGCTAGGCAGTATGAAATGCTTTTCTTCTGTTAACTCATTTAATTTAATCCCTAGGTTCCCAGAGTTAGAAAAACCATGATTGTCCCTATTTTACAGAGAAGGAGAAGAAACTTCAAATGATGAAGTGACTTGCCTAAATTTTCCCAGCCTATAAAAGCAGAGCTGGAATGTGAACCCAGAAACTTCTGTAACCACCACACTTCAAGGTAAGGCCAAGAAAGGAGGCACTTTCTCTGCACAAAGCCCAGAAACGGGGTCCCCAAACAACCAGAATATGAATACTTTTTAAAAAATATTTATTTATTTATTTATTTGAGAGACAGACAGAGAGAGAAAGAGAGCTGGAGCAGGGGGGAGCAGCAGAGGGAGAAGCAGACTCTCCGCTGAGCCGGAGCCCTGCTGGGCTCATGGGGCTCATGGGGCTTGATCCCAGGACCTGGAAATCATGACCTGAGCTGAAGGCAGAGGCTTAACCATCTGAGCCACCCAGGCACCCCAAGAATATGCATACTTTTATCAGGAAGGAGCTTTTGGTTGTCCTAACCGAAAACCCCAGCTGCACTGGCTTGCACAATTACTTACCATATCAAAGGAATGGAGCCAGAGCAGTTCCGGGCTTGGCATTCTGGGGCTCATGTTAGGTCATTGTCACTGGGGACCCCACTTCACTCCACCTTTCCGCTCTACTCTGTGCACCGGCCTCTTCCTCAGGCCGGCTCTCCTCAAACTAGCCTGTGGTTGCCGTCCCTCAGACAGCATGTCTTTGTAGGGAGATCCCAGGCAGAGGGATCTACTGTTGATGCCCTGGTGTCTCTTTTTATCAGGTGGAAACACCTTGTGCCAAAGGCCTCCTGTAGGATTCCTCTCGAGCTTCATCCCAGGAAAGAGGGATGGGAGCATCAGGGTTTGCTTGGATCTGCGGTTCTCAGCTGGGGTGGTGAAGCCTTGCAAAGGAGCAGAGCACATTTTCAGTGGGCACAGTGATTCTGACCATTCGCGCCTGGAGACGTAAAGGCCAGAGCTGGTGAACGCCCCACGGCGCATGGGATAGTCCATTCTTATGAGCTGCATGATTTTCGAGCATCTCATTGAACATTCCCATAGGTGAAGACACTGTTCAAAATGATCTGAGCTAAAACTACTTCTCTTTTATCTGTAAACCCAAAGCATTTAAAAAAATACATTGTATTTTCCAGGAAAACCACTACTGAGTACCTCAAGGGAATACCCTGCTTTGTTTTGTTCAGGACTTTTGGAAAAGTCATTTACCATCGTAGAAAATCACATGAGCAATGCCCCCACCAGTCACAGAAGCTGAGTGTCCCCTACAGCAAAGCTGTCCGGGCCTGCCCTGCTGGCTTCCTGATTCACAAGGCTTCTGGGTATGGACCCTCACACCTGGAACGTTCTTATTTATTTCTTCCAAGCACTTGCATGTTGAAATAAACCCTATTTTATTTTGTTATTTTCCTTTTAAATTCTACTTTGCATCTTAGTCCATTCCGGCGGTTGCTTATCAACAAGAGAAATTGATTTCTTCCAGTTCTGGAGGCTAGAAATCCAGGATCGGGGGGCAGCATGATCAGGTTCTGAGGAGGGCAGAGGGTCATTTTGCCTTTGTATCCTTACATGGCAGCGAGAGAGAGTGAACTCTCTGGGGTGTCTTTTATAAGGGCACTAACCCCATCCCCCAGGGCTCCACCTTCATGACCCAATCACCTCCCAAAGGCCCCACCTGGTAACACCATCACGTTGGGGGTTAAGATTTCAACATCTGAATTTTGGGGGACACATTTAGTTCATAGCACTTTATAATAGGGTTATTGAATTTTTTGAAATTATATGTATAGATTCTATTATCTATAAATATCATTTCCACGTAGGAAAGGGGAAGTTATAAAAATATTTGCCATAAAAAGAGGCCATTGGATCCAACAGAATAGGAGTCGCTCTTGAGAGATTCACCTGTGGGGCTGAGAATGGGACTCACAGCCCTGCCGCAGGGCCTGGGCAGAGGAGGCTGGTGTCGGGACAAAGTCGGGGTCCTTCGGGAAGGAAGAAGAAGCGGGCCTGGGCGGCAGAGCAGGAAGGACGCTGTTGGCGCCAGGCGGCTCCCAGTGGCCCGGGGTTGGCAGCGGTATTCTGCGCAGTGGGGAGAGGACGTTGTTGTGGAAGAAGATCCGCATCCTTGGCTCCACCTGGCCTGGGTCCAACACCACTGACCAAACCACTTACCCTGCCTTGGACTGCAGTGTCACCCAGCAACCTTCTGATGACAAATGTGGCCTCCTGGCTGCTTCCATACTGGGAAGAATTGGCTGGGGACGGGGAGGAAGAGGGGAAGGTATTCCCCGGGCTGGCGACTAGGGTTCTGGTCCCTGCAAAGAAGCACCTTCAGTTGTGACAGATACACTGACCTTCCGGTCAACGCATCATCTCCTGTGAATTTGGTTAAATCAGTCCAGGGCCTCGGAACGGACTGATTCTAGGTGTCCTGACAAAGTGGAGTTCTGGAACTGGCAAAGCAGGGGTGGGGTGGGGGGACACCACTGCCAGGCACTGTCACCTCCTGGGCCCCTTCTGGGTAACCCGTGGCTTCCCAGCTATTGCTGGCTGTGCACCCTGTGGGCTAATGCAATGTCATACAAGGCCCATGGGCAGAGCCAATTAAAAGCTCTTTCCCTTGGCGGCTGGGAATGGGAGGCCCAGAGACAGCTACCCACCTTCCCACAAGTCCCTCTCTGTGGTGGGGGCTCCCCTGAATATATGCGGGCTTCTGACAGCTTTTGTCCACTCTCTGAGTCTCAGGGTACAATCTCTGCCTCAGACACCCCCCACCATTTCCTCCCCGGGAACCAACCCCACAGAAGCTCCTACTTGGGGACTGGGTCCCCGTTGCCCTCCCCCAGCGGTGCACGCAGAGAAGACCTGTTATATTCACTGAAGAGATAGGAAGGCCGAGGGGTTTGTGTCCTGCTGTGGCCATGACTTCCAGCTTAGGTTCCTTCCAAATCATTCTGCTTTTGCATCTTAAAAGTGAGGGATGTCAACCAGCCCAGGTGAAGCCACAGTTAAATGGGCAGAGCATTTAAAACAACAAGCACTGGGCGCCTGGGTGGCTCAGTTGGTTAAGCGACTGCCTTCAGCTCAGGTCATGATCCTGGAGTACCTGGATCGAGTCCCGCATCGGGCTCCCTGCTCAGCAGGGAGTCTGCTTCTCCCTCTGACCCTCCCCCCTCTCATGTGCTCTCTCTCTCAAATAAATAAATAAAAATCTTTTAAAAAATAAATAAATAAATAAATAAAACAAGCACCAAAATAGGAAAACCCATCAAAATATTAAAAGCATTAAAAATTTCATAAAACCAATCATAGGTACATAAGGCCGCCAGCTTTCCACCCTTTATGACAAAAGACATGGGTGTTTTCTTTCCATTCCTAAAGGGTGCAGGGTTCAGCATCCCTGCATGGAGGACTCCAGAAAACCAGGACTCTTAAGCTCAGAGATGGTTTATGTTTCCCACAGACCCAAGGGCCTAGGACCACTCCAGCTACAGAAGATGCACGGTAGGGGCGCCTGCGTGGCTCAGTCGTTAAGTGTCTGCCTTTGGCTCAGGTCATGATCCCAGGGTCCTGGGATAGAGCCCTGCATCGGGCTCCCTACTCCGCAGGAAGACTGCTTCTCCCTCTCCCACTCCCCCTGCTTGTGTTCCCTCTCTCGCTGTGTCTCTCTCTGTCAAATAAATAAATAAAATCTTAAAAAAAAAAAAAAAAAGAAGAAGAAGAAGAAGAAGATGCATGGTAGCCACAGGCCCAGGGGTGGTGGCAGTACCGAAAATGGAGATGTGGTCCTAGCTCCCAGGGGCTACAGCAGCCATGATTGTAAGTCCTGGAGGTGTGGCTGAGGGGGCTCAGGACCAGGGCAGTGCCTTCCCTCAGCCTCATGAGCAGCTGAGGCATAGAGACCGTGGTACTTGCTCATGACCATCCATTTGACAAACATTTATTATTTTCTATTCTATGTCAAGCTCTGTTCCAAGTGCTCAAGATAGGTGGGGCTGACATCAAAATGGGATGGGATGGACCTCAGCAAGTACCTCTTCTAGATGCAATATTTTTTTCTTTATGCTTTTCTATATACAAAAGGGGCTTGTTGCTTTTAAAAATTAGGGAAAAGGCTATTAAAGTAAGTTATTAGAAACTGTTTTGTAATAAATGTCCATGGAGAAAGTAAAAATGTAGAAAGGAAATACCAGGTAATTTCACATCTGCAGTAACAGTGGACTTTGGACTCCGAAGAGGCCTTAGGAGGTGTGGTCAGAAAATCAACACCAGATGGTTCGAGAGAGTTGATTCTGTGCTGTTACTGTCAAAGAAATCCGAGGAGGCAGGCACTGTGTCCATTTGGCCACCATCTTATCTTGGCCTATAGTACACAGCCTGTTATGTAGTAGGCACTCAACATATTACTGAACAAATAGTTGTTGGGCAAATCTTCATGGATATGGTGACCTGGTCACCTGCGCCTTGAGAGATGTCTTTGCTTATTGCCACTGTTCCACTTGCCTTCATTTCTCCCTTGGCAGCATTGAGTAACTTTTAGGTGCCCTCTGACCCACTCCTAACTTCTCATCACATTTGCCAGATGTCCTTGCATTTTCATTTTTCCCACAATGGTCCTTGATTTAATTTTGTCCTCATTTCATTTATACCTGCTCTTCCCTCATCCTTTTCTGCTATAAAAGACCATGTCTTGTTGTGTCCTCACAAAGATGCAAAATAGTCTTCTAAAATCCACAGATAATACTCTGGTTTCTTTTCAGATCGCATCAATCTTTCGCCTTTTACTAAAATCCACAGATAGCACAAACATCCAATTTAACCAGCAATTTCAAATCCTCCTCCACTGATTTTTTTTTTTCATTAGAGGTGCCAAGTAGCAAGGCTCAGCCCACCTTCTGGGGCTGGATATAACAAAATGTGAACTCATCAGAAGGCAAGTAGGTGGGCACAAGAAGAACAATGAGAAGTTGGGGATTGTTGGCCTTTCTGAAATAGAAAATCAGCCACGCTTTCTCGCTCTGTTGGCTTTATTTAGAAGAATCACAATATCAGTACTGTTGGTTTCAACTGGGGGCTGCCAGGCTGAATTCTTAGAAAGGCCAGCACACTATTCGCCACTAGACTCAGCTCCCGGACAGAGCACGTAAAATGGGTCTTTAGTGACTATAGGCAGGAAGAAATGATGGAGCAGGAGCTCACCTCCCAGAGCAGAGGCCCTTGCCATTTGCCTCAAGCTTTAAACTCTACCAGTTTGAGCTTCTGCTATGACACAGACCCAGCCGAGGCTGCACCCGCCAGCATTTTAGACTTCCTGAGACCCGGCTCTTGCTAAAGGCCTTCCTACGGCCTCTCATTTGCTTGCTGTTCAAGGCTGCACATTATCTAACAGAATCAGACCTTACTTCTCACTGTTCTCCAAATCACATGCATCAACCTCTGCCCAGATTTACACACCGGTGCTGGAACATGTCTGCACTTCTCACCATTTTGCCTTTTCTCCTGTCATTCCTTAAACCCCCAAATGTAGGTATTTTTCAAGGTCTAGCCCTTCCATGGAAGCTTCCCTCTTTCCCCCAGCTCAAAGTGATCAGCACTGTATTCGTATGTCTCTTATGACACTTACCACATTTTGCTTTCATTATATCACAGTAGCTTATGTTCTCTATGACTTTAATGTTCTCAGAAATGTGGATCGTGACCCACAAGTGAGCTTTGAAATCCCTTTAGTGGGTCATGACCTGAATTTTTTAAAAATTAAATAGAAAAAATAGAACATTTTAGAGTACATTACACATAAACATATTTCTCACTTTGGTTCACAATCAAAAAGCTAGAAAGTCACTGCCTCACATAGTAATGATGTTTTCAGCTTCTATGTAACAGAAGGCCTTGATTCAACCAGCTTAAATAACAAAGGATTTATTATCTTATAAGATGAGAAGTCTAAAAGTGGAGGCAGCTCTGGGTTGGTTTACTATCAACTTATCAACATCAAGAACCCAGCTTTTTGCCATCTCTGTCATCCTTCTGGCTACCTTCCCTCATGTTTGCAAGATGGCTGCAGGAGTCCCTTGCATCATAAAAACATCCAGCATTCAAAAAAAGCAGCGACTTATTCTTTGGATCTCTTTTTATCAGGAAAGAGATCTTTCCCAGAACTCCCCACCCCCACCAACTCCCAGCAGAACTCCTTTCATTTCTCATTGAAATAAACTGAAATAAAATGAACGATATGCCCCACCAGGAGTGGCAAGGAAAACCAAAATCAGTTTAGATGAGGATAAGAGCACCTTTCGTGAGCACTTATCTGGTCAGGAAGAAGGGGGAGATTGATGGCTCTGATGTGGGCAAGGAAAAGAAGTATTGGCCAGCTCCCGACA